GACTCTGCTCAGCCAGCACCGGCAGGCCGTGAAAACGTGCGAGACCTTGGCGCTGCAGGCGGGCGATCCGGCTCCGCATCAGGGACGGGTTCACCCTGCGCCGGCTTGAGAGAACGGTGATGCCCTGCGCTTGTTCGTGCCGTATCTCTTTAGAGCAACATGCCCGTGCAGAGAGAAATCTTCCTAGATATAGAGAGACGCGTCCTGTGTAGCCAACTTGTCTACTTATGTACTGTAGTGCGCCATGTCTTTTGGAGCCTCTTTTGCCCAGCTAGCTGAGACTTTGCCATTTTGATTGGTCTGTCTTGTGTGTTGGTTGACAGAGTCGGGGAGGCGAAAAGGACGCAAGCGTCTGCCCCTTTTTTTGTTTTCAAACTCGGGGCCCACTCCGCTACGCTCCGACCCGAATTTGGAGGGCCTAAAAGTTTAAGGTGCTGCTGCGCAAAAGGGGTCGGACACAGGGCGCAGCTCATGCTAAGAGCTAGAAGAGCGGCCGAGCTAGAGAGAACGAACTACCCTCAGTACTACCCTGTCCCATTAACTCCACCTACCCTTACCCTCGCCCAGGGATCTACAATGCTGTGCTGCCCGACGACAGGTTCGGCGCCGGGCACCGGTTTACAAAATGCGCTGCTAGAACCTGCAACCTCCCTCCGGCAAACACTGCTGACTGGCGAAGGAGGGGTCCGTTAAAGTCCTTGCTTGCCTCTCTGCCCTCCACCCTCCAGAGAACCCTACGCCACGGTGATGGCATGAATAAGTCGGGCGGTCGTCAACGGCGCAGCCGCCTCCCACGCGTTCGTCGCGGGATCGTATCGCTCAAGCGAGCTGCTGGCGCCACCGTCGTTGCAGCCTCCCACGGCGTACAGCTTGCCGTCGAGCACCGCCACGGCATGAGCCTCCCGCGCCTCTGCCATCGGCGCCACCGCCTCCCACGCATCCAACGCGGGGTCGTACCGCTCCACCGAGCTGAGGTGGCCGCCGTTCCATCCGCCCACCGCGTACAGCTTGCCGTCCAGCACCGCCATGGCGTGATCATACCGCAACTCCGCCATCGGCGCCACCTCCTCCCACGCGTCCAGCGCCGGATCGTACCGCTCGACCGAGCTGAGGCAGCCACCGCCGTACCCGCCAACAGCATACAGCTTGCCGTCGAGCACCGCCACGGCGTGAGAATGCCGCGCCTCTGCCATCGGCGCCACCTCCTCCCATGCATTCGTCGCCGGGTCGTACCGCTCGACCGAGCTGAGCAGGTTGTAGAAGGCATCCTGCCCGCCCACCGCATACAGCTTGCCGTCGAGCACCGCCATGGCGTGAGTCTCGTGTGGTGTCGCCATTGGCGCCACCTCCTCCCACGATTTCGTAGCCAAGTCGTACCGCTCCACCAGGTTGGAAGTTGCGTTGTCAGCCTCACTCTCTTGGCCGCCCGCCGCGTAGAGCTTGCCATCGAGCACCGCCGTGCTGACATAGTTTCGTGTCGAAGGCATTGGCGCCACAGCCTCCTCCTCCCACACATTCGTGGATGGGTCGTACCGCTCCAGCGAGTTGACGAACTCGCCATCGTTATACCTGTCTTGGCCGCCAAACACGAGCAAGCGCGGCCTCTCGCGCTTCTTCAGCGTCTCCCTCCAGCCGCGGCGCCACGCGCGGCACGTGCCCTTGACGGCGTGCTCCGTGATCGGCAGCTGGGCGAGGATGTGCGGGGCGAGGTCCGGCGAGAGGAGGACCTCGGAGAGCACCCACTCGGGCTGCTCCACGAGCCGAGCGGCGTGCTCCTCCGCCACGCGCAGCGCGGCGTCGCTCGCGCCCGCCTGCGCCTCGATGATGGCGCACAGCTGCGCTGGCGAGAGGCCCGCGACGCGCGCGCCGATGCGGTGGGAGGCCATCGAGAAAAAAAAGAAAGAAATCACGCACGACGAGGAAAGGGTCCCCACCTGCAGGAGCAGGATTTTGGAAGGACGATCAGGGGGACAGGCCATCGAGGAGAGCGCTGGCAAACACCGGTCGTCTTACTCATTTGAGAGGTATTTTCAGGTATCAATTTTACGGATGTCTTGGCCAAACCGTGCCGTCCACCCATCCCTCCCTTGCGCCTTGTGGGTTGTGTCTTGTGTGTTCTTTCTTTCTTTCTTCAATCGTGTTGTGCGCCCTAAATAAATAAAAACGGACACCTCTCTACTGTGAGATGGGTAAAAAGGAACAGGCCCCCGCCCTTGCGATCTTTGTGCAGGGTTCTTTGTGGGTGTGGTCGGCGACTAGCCGGGGTCGTCCTCCCGATGGGGGACTAGCACTAGCCGTCTTCCGCATGGTCCCTCGGGTCCCTGCTGCTCCTAATCTCTTCGTACATCCTCCTGCTGATCTCCGCAAAGTCCTGCTCCCTCCCTCGTCTCACCCTGCGCGTCTGCTCCGCCTCACCGTCTTCTGCCCTGCGTCGTCTGGCGACGGGTCCTCCATAGTCGGTCGAAGTCGCCGCCCTCCTCGTGCCTCTTCCCAACGTTCCCTCGGCGGCCGATGCCGTCTGCTCCGGCTCCCCAGTCCCCGGGTCTGCCCTGCTCTCGTCTGCACTAGCTTCTGCTTCGTCATCACTGGCGCCTCTCCTCTTCTTTCTCCCCTTCTTGTATGCTTTGTACATCGCGTCGATTCCTTTTCGCGTGAGCACCAGCCTGAAGCCCGCCCAGCATCTGAACCGCTCCCTAAGTCGAAGGAGCATCATGTTGTGCGCCCGCCTTTTGTTGTGTCTTGAGATTTTTAGCAATACCAAACAACTCTAACACTCACACGTAATTTGGGGCCTGGAGCCCTGTTCACGCGCGCGCGAGACGTGCAGACAGGGTTGCCAGGTGAGAGCGAATGGCGCGGTTCACGCCTCGCACAACAGAGAGAGAGATGCGCTCTGCATGGTGTGACATAAAAGAGAGCGAGTACTTGGGCGAGTAGGCCGTGCGGTCAACGCTGCCGCGCGCGACTTTGCGCGCGAGGCGGCGCAGCTTGAGAACGGCGGTGGGCGAGAAGCCGCCGCCGAACGTCTCGTGGAGCAGCAGGTTGAAGTTGTTGCGCTTGACAAAGATCGCGTCGTGGTAGAAACCGCGATGCGCGCCTTGACGTAGCCGTGGCCGGTCTTGTGGGAGAAGGGTTGGCTGGGCTGCCCGCGCGCCTTGCAGCCCATGTTCAGGCGGCGGGCCTTCTCTTCGGTGTTGCCGAAGGCGTAGGAGTGGCCGACGGAGGCGGGCGTGCCGCCACTCGAGGCGTTGCCAACGCCCGGCGAGGAGGTCTTGAGGAGGGGCGTCCAGAGCTTGATTTCATTCACGTCATCGCACCCTCCTGGCCCCGCATGGGGTTCTGCGAGGTCAGTCTTGTACCCCTCGTTGTACTGCCGGGTGAGCTCTGGTTTCTCCTTGTCGCCGTGCACGACCGGCGCGTTGGCCGGGGCGCGCATCGCGTCCGCCCAGGCGGCGAGGACGCCGTCGTGGGGCCGCCGGTGGTGGGCCTTGTTGTAAAGGTAGTCGCCGAAGAAATCGACTGGCATGCCCCGCTCGAGCGCGACCCGAAGGGCGGGAAGCGCCGCGGAGAGCCAAAGGCCGAGCTTTCGCTGGAGCTCGTCCTGGAGGGTGTCGGAGGAGAGGGCGGTGGCGTACGTACCGTCGACACGGACATCGAAGGCCTTGCCGGCGAAAGGCGTTGAGGCGGAGACGAAGCGCGCGGCTTCGCGGTTGTTGACGGCGCTGTCTCCGAGGGATGGGTTGTTCTTGACGTGCACATCCCGCGCCTTGACGAGCTCCTGGTGCCCGTACCAGTCCTTGTGATTCTTGATGGCAGCGAGCGCCCGCGGCCGCGGGTACGTGGATTTGCAAGTGCCATTGAGAATCGCGTCGGTAGCTGGAAGGGACTCGGGCTCGGGGAGCGGGACGCTCTTAGGGTAGACTCAGTCAGGTAGCCGTTGTTTTTTCTATGTCTTCAGGCGCTGTAGAGGCGCACGCGTGCCGCTGCTGCATGCAGCTTCGCCGAGGCGGAGTACATGAGTGAGGAAGAGAAGCAGGCCAGCAGCAAGAAGTAGATCATCGCGAGAGACCCTGCCCGCGAACGGGGGGTGCGTCGACCGGCGAGACGATCGAGGGGTCCTGTTTACCATGCGGAATCGACCCTATATCCAGTGCTCAAGTCAAGTGCTCAAGTGCATCAGGAGGGCGCATCGCGAAAAAGAAAGAAAGAAGACAGGCAATCCACGGGAGGGATGGGAGGACGGCACGCGCGAACGAGTTTTCTTTTTCGTACACCGAGACGCTGTCGCGCGGGCCCAACGAGCTCGAGACGACGTGTGCGGCCTGGCGAAAACACGCCGGCCTAAAGACAGATGGATGGCCGAGAACATTCGGCGAGCAGCAGGCGCGCTCCCTTCCTAGGTTGCCCATTCGCCGTCGCTAGTCGCGGCCGAAAGACACAACGGCGGCCGGCACACACGGCCACCGAGCCGCCTGTGCGACCGTGGCTGCATCCATCCGGCTGCGGCGTCCCCGCACCCCACACAAGCATCCAGGGTGGCACCGTGCTGCGCGGCTGGAAGCGTAGGGATCGGTGCCACTCACCCACCTCTCCGCTCTGTCTGTCGCCCGCCGCCGCCGCTGCTAGCACTTGGCTTCTTGGCTTTCATGCCTCGCAGTTGCTCACGCCAATTTTGCTGCACCTAGGTGCAGCGCCAGGGCTCCCAGCAACCTCCTCTCTTCATGAGTGTGAGAGACACGCCTTCTCCACACACACACACACACACACACACACACACACAAAACAAACAAACACAACACACACTCACACACACACACACACACAGCTCCGCTGCTGTCTACTTTTCCCCTTTCTGCATCCCCCCCAGGCGCGTGACCTTCGCCGCGCGCCCAGACGCCGCCGCCGAAACGAATCCAGCTCGCGGAGATGCACTCAGAGACGCGGTACAAGTGTCGGCGGCAGACTTACGCGTGTGCGCTCGTGTCCCCCGCCAGAAGGGCATGTGCACCTCCACGAAACGATCCGACGGCGAGCCAGACGTCAACACATCGCCACCCAACTCCGGTGCAACAGCGCGCGACTCGGAAGGAGCCGCCCAGGAGTGGCCAGCCGCCGCGGCGGACAATGCTCGTCGCCTACGCGTCTCGAGCAATGCGCAAGCCACCGCACTCCAGACAAGTGCAAACACAGACCCATCGGGGCTCTGGGGCCCTCTGGCAGCCCGCTCGCTCTACTTTTTCCACGACCAGCGCCGGGCGTGGCTGCGTCTGGACCAGGCATCCGGCCAGTGGCTTGGGTGGGCGGCCGACGGCGCATCGGCGGCTGGGCTCTCCGGCGGCGCCGCCGCATGGTCGCCGTGGGGTGCGGTGGTGCGCCAGGAGGGAGGGCCGCACACCGCACGCTGGTTCGTCGGCGCCAAGACCAACGCCGCCTTCAACGAGTGCGACGAGCCCGTGCTAGCCGGCGGCGGTGCCGAGACAGCGTTCCTCTGCGAGCCCGTCTCAGGACCGGCGAGGAGGCTGTCGCGGCGGGAGCTGCTGTTGCGATCGACGCTTGCGGCGCGCGCGCTGCGCGATGCGCTTGGCACCACACCCTCGCCGCGCATCGCCGTCCACCTCCCCAACGGCGAAGAGGCTGTCGTCTGGATCCAGGTGCGTGCCCTGCCTCCGCCCCTGCCTCCGCCCCTGCCGCCGCCCCACAACTCTCACACGGGAGAGAGCAGCCCCTGCCCGCCGCGCCAGAGCGGCCACCACGCGCGAGGCGAGACGCACTGCGCCCCGCCGCCCGTCGCAGGCAGCCAAGCGGATCGGCGTGCCCTTCGTCGCGGTCGCGGCGGGCACCTCCGCCATGACCCTCAGCTCGAGGCTGGAGGACGTGGGGGCGGCCCTCCTCATCACGAGCAGCGGCCTCGCAGCCGCCTCGCGCGAGGCAGCCGCCGCGACGCCTCGGCCGCCCAGGGCCCTCCTCGCCGGCCCGGCGAGCGGCGACGAGGTGTGGCCACACAAGCTGCTTCTCCGCCCGCCCCACCTCCGCACCCGCTCCCCACTCTCTGCGTCTCTGCGCGCCCGCCCTCGCCAACCTCCTCCGCCCGCCACCGTGCAGACGCAAGGCTGGCCGGCGGGCGCAGCCCTCGCCGAGAGCCTCCTCGCCCAGGCCCAGCTCGCGCTCGAGGCGGCGGCCGGCGCGGCGGCAGAGACGGTGCGCCAGGACTGGTCAGACCGCGAGCTCGTCTCTCTGCTCTGGCGGGTCGAGCCGCCGGTGCCCGTCGAGGCGTCGCACCCGCTCTTCATCCTGTACACGAGCGGGTCGACGGGCAAGCCGAAGGGGATCGTCCACTCACACGCCGGCTTCCAGCTCGGACTGTGCGCCACCAGTGCGATCGCGCTCGACCTCCCCGCCGCCCCTCCAAGGGCCCCCGCCCCAGACGCGCCTCCCAGGGCCGCCCCAGCGGCCTCCCCTCCGGTAGCCGGCTTCGCCACGGCGAGCGAGAGCCCCGACGCCGCCGCCTCCACGGCCGCGGCCGCCAGAGCGGCGCCGCCCTCCACGGGCGACGTGCTGCTCGTGATTGCCACCCCCGGCTGGATCACGGGCCAGGCGTACATGATCTCCGCCGCTCTGCTCAGCCGCACACCCTCAGTCCTTCTGGACGGCTCGCCCGTCTCTCCGCCCGACCGCTTCGCCGCCGTCATCGCTCGGCACCGCGTGAGCGTGCTCAAGGTGCGCACCGCCCCACCCTCCTCTGACCTAGCACCTCCCTCCCCCCCCGTTCCTCTTCGCGAGTCTGGAAACCAGCGCCCGACTTATGTGGCGTCGCCCCCGGCGTGAGCACACGCCTTCCCGTCACGCCTCGCACTAGGCCGGCTCCACTTTCCTCCGGATGATCATGACCAACCCCGAAGCCGAGGCCATGCTCGCGCGCCACGACTTGAGCAGCCTGCGCCTCGGGACGTTCTGCGCCGAGCCGGTGAGTGACGCCTGCCCTGCCGTACGAAGTGCAGACTGACAGCATCCCCAAAAGCGCGTGCACTCTGGCTGGCGGCTGTGAATTTGCACCCGCGAATGTGTTCCGCATTGGAAACGGCTGCTATAACGCCACATGGACATGCTCGGTGTCCATCGACATCATCGGGATGCCGCTCGCCCTCCAAACGCCTCCTGGGGGTCCGACTGTTGAGCTGCGCCAGGGCGCGCCGCTCACCCCTCTGGCCCCCATGCCCCTCTCCGCAGGTCAACTCGGTGGTGCACGACTTTGCGATGCGCCACCTCACTCCAAACTACATCAACTCCTACTGGGCGACCGAGCACGGCGGCATCGTCTGGAGCCGATGCCACGGCAACGACGACCAGCCGCTTCAGCCAGACGCGCGCAGCTGGCCCCTGCCTTGGATCGACGCCGCCGTGCTCGTCGCGGACGGCGAGGGCTGGCGCGAGGCCGCCGCGGGCGAGAAGGGAGAGGTGGTCATCCGGCGGCCGTACCCTTACATGGCGCTCACGGTCAGGAGACCTAGATGCGACAGAGCACACGAGGGAATGCGGCGGGCGAACGGTGTGGCCGAGCCTTGAGCGGAGCCCTTGCGCGCCAACGCAGGTGTGGAGCTCCGACGGGTACGGAGAGCCGGGCTGGAGCGGCGATCTGAACCGTTGGGCGGCCTACTTCTCCCAGGGCTGCTACATCCAGGGCGACGCGGCCATCCGACACGCTGACGGCTCCTACACCTTCCACGGCCGCTCTGGCGCTCTCGCCCCGCCCCCACCTCCCCCCCGCCCCCCGCCCAGGGACCGCTCCCCCCCCCGCCCACACCTCCCGTCACCCGGGCCACG